CTCTCCATTTTCCCAGGCGTTTCGACACATAAATCGTGAAAGATCCCTGTGTCATTTAAAGAGCTTTTGACAAACTACAAACTGAACAGTATTCGCTCTAAACTACTAAACTCTGCAATAATAATTCATTATTACAGTCCTCGGTGAAGCGGAAATCTTAGAAAGAATTTTAATGTAGCCTCGTCGTCACGTCACCTTTTATGACACCCGTGGAAACCAAACATTCAGAGCCCTTACTTCGGCCAGCCGTACGCAACCCCAGGTGTTGCTAATAGAAGCGAATATGCGCGTCATCGGACATAGATGAGAAGAAAAGACGGTCTCGGGAACCATAGTTGCAGTGTCCTGACGTTTCAAAATCAGACTAGCTCCCATCGTTGGAGGTAGAAGTGATAGTGCGCCTCAAAGTACTTATAGGCAGCGCCATTCATCGTTAATAGACGTTTACCAAGGCAGGGGGTACAGGTGAGGGGGAAAGTTCCTAAATCATTACGGGGAAAAAGGGATGGATTGTTCTCACTCTACAAGGCTCTCGTTGGGGGGATGGTGTTCGCACGTTTGCAACTGTCGCTAGTACTCCCCTCAGCCTTATTTGTCGTCTAAGGCTGGATGAGCTCGTTGAAATAATAACTGGTCATTCTTCTGGTCTGGGTTGTGTTGCGGCTACTTGTTTCCCCATAGAATTGCAGTCAATTCGATTCCAGTTTGGCCCTTTTTCCCATTTGCTATCTTAGTCATTCAGCTGCGTTTGGATAACTTGGGGAGTTTTGGACAACGCCAAATAACGGTTTGTTGACGCTATCCTCGTGTTCCGTGTTCTGATGGGTCCGTGTCCGATGGAACAGTGCCTCGACGCGGACGATTAATATGCGTAGCCTCTGTGTGGTAATGACTTGCTCTAAATTGCTTTGGGCGAATATACGCTGCTCTTGGCCACTCTTGTTCTCTTGCTTCTCTCGTACAGGCCTTGGGTACAGTGGTCGAGCTAGCTCCCGGTTCTCACTAATTATGAGTACCAGGCGCGGGTCATAATAAAGGGTTAGGCTGTAATGCCTCCTCCTTAATACCAACTTTATATCACTCCCACTTAGCTGAGGCCTGAGCCGCCCTCTTCTTCTGCTTGTTGTGTGGAATCCTGGTCCTTTTTGCGTAAATTATGGGGTTTGGTGGCACACTTGGGTGTGTATTCACGTCGCGCAGTTTACCTGCCTATGCTACTTTTTACTCTGTCTTGTCACCGATTTAGGTGTGAGAGGAGGAACAGTTCATGTTTTTGATCACGATCAACTAATTCACGCGAAATCCACCATGCCTTCATCCACTCTGCTGTG